CATCGGGTTCATTTAACAGACATCGATCGATCGCTCGGGTTTAGTAACGCGTAGCCTGCAGTGCAATCGCTCCGGTTCAGTTAGAGCCCAACGCCTCGCTCGGCTTTAGTTAGAGCCAGCGCCTCGCACACACGTGCATACGTACGAGACAAACGCGCATCGCTCCGCCCCGACCTCCCACCGTAACCGGCAACTCCCCTAAATTTTCCTCCCCCTCGCTTCTACCACGGTTTTTTCCGTCATGGACGGCCCAAAGAATGTCATGCAGCTGCGTCTCCGGCCCGCCCAGGACGAAAAGCCCATTTTTTGTCATGATATTTTGTCATAGAAGTAGGAGCCCACCACATCTATGATGATACCAGGTTTTGTCACAATTATCGTCATAGAAGTGTCATATGTATGACAGAAAAAAAATTCGTTCGGCCCAAAATGTCACGGATGTGTCTTTTTTTGTAGTGAGAATGGACTGGTCTTGAAAACTAACATTTTAATGCATTGCAGAATGGACTGATCTCACACTTACTTAGTTCCAATACGTGTGTTTAAAACATGAATGAGGATGAGAAAGTTCATAACCAACCCATTGCTGAGTGATAGTATTACATACTAGTATTTGGGGATCAAATTATCAATTCCATCACACGTTAGCAATGACCAACCCAGCATCTAACAGTCATACAACAGCAGACAACCATCACACAATTACATCATAGCCCGTCTTGGCTTATGAGAATGTGAAATTAGTCGGCACTTCCCCCTTGCAAGCGGCATCGTAGTCTTCAGCGAGGTGCAGTGCAGACTCCTTGTGAGGGAATATGAACTTCTTCCTGGATGCCTTCTCACTCATCTTGAAAACGGTACTGTAGTTTGGGTCACGCTTGAGCAATCCATTTTCCTTGAGAAACTTCACATCATAGTAACGGGGCCTGAGCTGGCCCTCTAGGCTAAGACTGAGCATTACGGGTCAATGAGCAATGTACGCCGGTTCCAAGCCCACCTCGGAGATGAGGAACTCAGACCTACGCTGCAGTGATTCTTTGGACCTCGTCAGCATCAATGGGAACCTAGAAACAACAATTCCCACGTCACCATCCGTCCACATGAACGTGGTCTTCAAGTGCTCCACTCTGGCTGTGATGGTCTCCTCGCTATCGAATGCAATAGCATGCCGCATGTGCCTGAACATCCCATAACCACGGGGCACACCTATCTTTTCGGCGCATGCCACCAGTCCTTCGAAGCACTCTGGATTGGTGGTGAGCAAACCTGGTTGATTTCTGCATAGCTTGGCAATATCACAAGCACCTAGGCCGCACTCCCGCAACACAAAATGACATGCATGTATGATAATTTGTTAAGAAATTGTCGTGCATGTGAAAACACACACAAAATGTCATGGCAAATGCATATTAAAATTAGCCATGGTGTTTTAATTATATTGTCATGCTTTGCGTGAGGAAAAATTGCTATGTATGTATGCATGTGGTAAAAAATGTCATGACTTATAACCTACATTTGCCATGGTCATATTAAAAAAGTATTTATTGGCGTATTTGCAAAATAGAAATAATTTTGTCATGCTCCATGAACTTAAGTTTCCATGCCAATTAGCTCAAATCATTGTTGTCATTCCCTACAAATTTGTGGTGGGCTGAATTCCAAAAAATATTGCTAGGTGAAGCATAGAAAAAAGTAGGAGTAAATTGCAAAAAACCACCACATTAGGGGACGCTCAAACAGAAAACCACCCCCTTTCGTTTTTTTTCAAAAAACCACCACGTTTGAGCTGACAGTTTTCAAAAAACACTGATTGCACGGTTTGGCGCGTCTGAGTGAAAAACTGACCGGTTGGGCCCACTGTCAGGCACCACGTGGACAAGGGGAGACGAAACCCGTGACGCACGCCGTTAGACGGTGTCGCACATGACCTAACGAGCCGGCCCGACCCAGCCTGACCCATTCGTCCATTCCCCTCTCTCTCGGCCGCCTTCTTCTCTGTCCGCGGCGCGTTTGCCACCGCCTCCGCCGCCCATTTGTCGCCGACGGCCGCCGCAGCAATGGTGTCCTGGAAGGACGGCGAAACTAGCAGCGAAGATTCTATGTCCCCCCTCTTAAACTCGCAAGCGGACGAGACCTTCGTGAGTATCATTTCTCTTTGATTTATGGTTAGGGTTTTCTTCGATTTGAACTTAGTTTTCACGGATTTGAGTTGGGATTTGAGCACCGTTGCAATATTGTAGATCCCACAGACCATTGTTGACCCGGAGTGGTGTGGTATTGTTGCCGGAGGACCGATGTCCTGTCACAACCTTCCTGTTCATAGGGCCACTACTAGGGAAAAGCCTAGCAGCAACGCGGTTTTAGGTATAACAATAGCGCGGGAGGCGGCGCTACTAATAAGGCGCTACAGCTAACCCGTAGCAGCAGCGCGTGCGTGCCTGCGCTACTGATATACAAGTGTAGCAGCAGCGTTTTTCCGTGGAGCTCGCTACTGCTAATATCTATAGCGCGCTACTGCTACCATCGCGCTGCTGCTAACTTCTCTCCACTCGCTATTGCTAATTTTAGTAGTTTTTTTTTGCATATTTGTTTTCTATTTGAACAGGCTTTATAGAAGAATCTTTAGCACATACAAATGTCATCATGATACACATACAAATGCCTGCGAGACCACAAATGTAATCATAGCATATACATACAAATAGTCTCATCATAATCATCATCCAACACAAAGTGGTATCTTGTCATGATCTCGAAAATAGCGATACATGCAAGTCTCGAATACTTGCAACTACAACATCATCCATCTAAACAAAGGTATACGCGAGAAGAGCTATCACTATGAGTGAGAGCGGAACTATCCAGTACATGAGGTGGCGGTTACGAGTCCTCTCTCGCGCTAGCGTGAACCTCAAGTAACTAGCTTCTCCTTCTTGTCTGCTTTTGAAGCCTTTCTGGCTGGCGCTCGAGAACCCATTCACTTGCGCCTGACACTCAGGCCACTCGTTGTACACCCCCGGAACCTTCCCTTTGTACATGACATAGCACTGCCATCTCGCCATCAAGAAACTAGGTACCTGTTAGAGATGCATCTTCATGAAGAGGATGTACAATCATATGCAACAAAATATACTAGAGCAACACAAAAAAGAAAGGATTAGCAACTAGATGCAGCATATAGTACACAAACTAATTAACTAGAGGTACGCAGGTCATCGTACGCAAACTAACAAAGTAGCGTTACGCAAGTTCGGCAGGGACCATGGACATCACAAAGTTTCATCGCTACAAAAACTATACAACTTCAACCGACACATATCATCATCATCGGCATCATAAATCACTAGAAGTTCCATCCTTCCATATCATTGAGGATGGACCCTAGCTTCTTGAACAGCGTGAGGTCTAGACGTTGCATGCCTATGCGAGTTCGGACGTCAGCTCGCGATATAGGGCCGTGGTGGAACATCCCCTTCTCATCGACGACTTCTTTCATGATGATCGTAACAATGTCCCTTTGGATGCGAAAGAAGTCATCTCTAAGTTTATAATCCGCTTCTCCATGAGATTCTAGCTAGTTGTGGATATGATCATCATTTCTGCTTGTCATGCGAAGCTTTTGGTGATCCGTGTTGAACTGTATCATGACATGGACGATGTAGAATCCATCCTTCTTGCTTGGTTTTGGGACATGGATGCAGGAGAAGTTAGTTTTATGCGCGAAACCCATCTTCTTGTTCCTTTGTTTCCTGATCTGCATGTGGCCACCTCTAATGCTGAAGCCCTGGAGAGCATCATCTAGAATATTCATTATGTGGGTGTAGTCCTTTTTCTCGTAGTCTCTGGAAGGGTCAAAATACACGGTGTGGGAGACTTGCGGGTAAAGAACGATAAGGATGGCGCGCCCGTTGCTGTGGGGAAAATACACCACAAATTATTCTCCATATGAGCGAGAACGAATGATTGAAATGTACGAAAGGGTTGTCCGGAACTGACTTACTTTGGATGATAAGGCACGAGGACAATTTCCTGGTCCTTATTCTGTACCATGAAGTTTTGGAGGTAGTCCCTAGCAGTTTCACGCTCAAAGTCGCCGAGACTCAAGAAAGACTCATGCATGTAGTACGGATCCGCCACACAGATTTGCGAGGCTTCTTCACTCTTCATGACGGAGCTCATATGTAGCGCAAAAAGGTGGACGATTGTAAAATTGAGTCGCCTTGTCAGAAACATCTCAAAGATATGGTCAAATCGCAGGAAGAACACCTCCGCGGGGCGTGTGTCGACGTAGCACTACCCCTCAGGCACACGAGCCGCATATATCAGATATCCTGGATCCTTTGAGGCTAGTAGGCTTATCTCAGTCGACAGCACATGGTCGTGTTGTCTCCTGAGATCCCCTGATAGTGCCTCCAGCGTTTTCGGCGGTAGCATTGGCTCGCCCGTGAGATGAAACATGGCCACACCTTTCACAGGTACACGCTCTTCAGAATCCATCGTCTGGCTGCTATGTGCTCTGGCTTGTTGTTTGGAGGCAGTTATCTTCCCCGATCTCTTCATCTCCTTTTTCTTGGGCACACCTTCCAGACCCTTCCTTAACCCCTGCCCCAGGGTTCCCGGGCTAAGCACTGTACGACCCCCGGCTAGTTAAGCCTGTGTTGAGGCAGCATCTTTAGGCGTGTCCTGTGAGGAATTCATGAAGAGAGACCTTTTGCAATCCTTCCAACGACCTTCCTGCACGGGCACATCATCCATGTCCTCATTAACATGCTGATAGCCCGACTCGTCATATGGTTGACTCATCATATCTATGTCACAGTCATACGCATTTTTATTGAGGAAACCCATAGGGTCGACCTCCGTCTCGTCATCCATTCTCTGTTCTACAGGACCGATTACATCAGCCAGTACTATTGCACTCCCTTCATCACGTCGCCCGCCGCTCTCACCCGGCACTACAGGAGCTGGTAATTGCGTAGGCGGGGTGGTGGTCTCCGCACATGCTTGTTGATGTGTGGTTATTGGTGTCCTCTCGGCCGGCTCTAGACGAATAAGATTCTTCGGCCATAGCAGCACCCAACCCTTGCAGTTTCCAATCTACGGCGGGGTCTCGTCGTCCTCTCCAACATGCTGTACTGGAGGAGGCAAAGCCTCGTGCCCTGGTTTCACACTGGACAAGCTAACCCTGAAGTGCCCAGCGGGGATCAGCTGGTTGTGGAACGTGGGTTTCAAGGGGTTCAATATCATCCTCTTTCCCCCGTCCACCTTCTGGACTTTGATCAAGTAGAGTATGGTGCACGGGGTTTCTTCGCACTGCGTGGCGTAAAACATCCGAAAGGCAATGAA